ATACTAACCCACTGGTGCGCAATACCACGAGGGATCTTATTGGATATAAAAAACCGAATCTCTTCATCCTGTGCCTCAAAGATCCGCTCAAGAGTAAGTCGTGCCCGCAATGTGAGATCAGCAATAGCATGGAAGTCCTTTTTCCAGCTCTCATCGCCCACCTGGCTGCAATGCCAATCGCGATACTGGCGTACAGCGTTATCCCGATGGCCTTCAATCTTAACCCTCTTGGCTGGAGGTGCCGACTCGGCCCCGGGTATCACATTGGTGATATTAATCTGTGGCACATCGCCCTGCTTCCGCTTTGTTGGTGGATTCAGAATTTCGTTCCGATAGTGTTTAGGAAGGTCGCTATGCTCATTAAATTTGCCGCCCTTTTCAACATAGTCGACAATTTTCAACAAGATATTGGTTGCTACTGCATGGCGAGTGCCAGTATCTGGATTACGCCAGCAGTATGGACCTACATCACACCCAGCTCCAGGACATTCAAGGAGGTCGTATACGCGTTCCCAGATTGGTACCTCATCTGTGGAACCTTCGCGGTTCTGGATGGAAGCTCTCTCACTAAGTTGAGCTGCTGTTGCACTTCTTCCGCTGCGCTTCGCTGCTATATGCTGACCTGTCTCTTTATATATAAAGATGATCTTAACAGTGAGCTTCCTCCCCTTATGTACAAGGTCAGACCAGCTTTCAATTTGGTCATCGATTTGGCTCCAACTGATATTGAGACCTGTATACCGTTTCGGGACGTCGTCTTCGCCTCGCGCATTGATCGTCATGGTGATTTGAGTTTCGTCAGGCTCGTAGTTATTTCCTAAACCCTTTCCTCTCACTATCGCGTCAATCTCTGAGCCTAGGCTGGTCTCCCAATAAACGCTGGGATAGTCTTGGATATTCTGTACTGCATTTCCTGTAAGCTTATTTAGTCGGTTTTTTTTTGAACACAGCGTCCAGTTTATGGTATAGGCGGGACATTTGGAAGAGCGTTGGCTTGGCGCATGACGTTGACTCTCGGCAGCTATAAGAGCCGAGACATCGAAGTCATCACCATCATCCAGCCACTGGCTAGAATCATCCAGAAGAGCATTACTCATAGTGGCAAACTGGAGTTGTGTAGGTTGCAAACTCTCGGCCAAGCTGGACGAGTAGAGAATGAACGTACCCATTGCCAATTGAACCGGGGTGCGCAACAAAGACAACCAGGCCCACTTCCTAGTTCCTAGACTTTCCAAGACCTTCTAAGACCTTCCATGACGCACTCTTGCAACAACAACCAACATTGCAACAACCAACAACCAATAAAGTGGGGCTCAAGAGGGACAAACGAAATCGACTGACCTGAGTCCATCCTAAGTGCAAAGGTTTGGGTTTGATATCTTAGTATAGGTTTTAGTTCAGTTAGGTACCTATATTAGTAAAATAAAAAGCAACTGTAAAAAGCAACTGCAAAAAGCAGTAAATTAGAAGCAAAAAATTGCCGAGAAGTCAAGGTGGTAGAGGGATTGCATCAAGTAGCGATTCTCAATTCAAGCGCGGCCATAATAGAGCTAGCGTACTGGACCCAAGTTGTTGGAAGTCATTTGGGCCCAGTTGCTGGCCTTGATATATATATGGCAAGTAACAAAGGAAGGCCTATGACTCATTGTGGATCAACAGAAGTGTGACTTGCTGTTACTGTGTTATATTTTTATTCGCACTATGGGTTAGCCACACCTCGCCCGAAAACAGCCTTTGTTAATATGTTACTGAACAAGAAAGCGGACACTCCTTTCGGTCAACCCTGTAGCACCATCTCCAGAATTACAGGGTTGACCGAAAGGAGTGTCCGCTTTTTTATTCAAAAACACATTAAAAGAATGGCTGTTTTTGGGCGAGGTGTGGCTGATCATAGTGCGGGGGAAAATATTACACAGTAATGGTAAAGTCACTCTTTCGCTATGGCCCATATGACTCATAGGCCTTTCTTTGTTACTTGTGCCACCAACCGGCTGTTAATGACGTTGCACGCCTGAGAGGTTAGATTTTTCCATCCCGCCAGCAATGGGGCCCGCGATTGCACGGAGGCCCATAGCCTCGGAGCAAGTCATAGATGTACCTCATATCCCTGCAGAATCACAAATATTAGTTTTCCGCAAACCACCTTGATCTATGTATGTATATACCTGTAATCTTGTACCTTCTTATTCATGGACCCACAATACCAAAAATAGGTATATATAGCCTGCATCCCGCTCTCATGCGATTAATTTTAAAAAACATTTTGGATAGCCCAAGAACGAGGTCAACAATGAATAACCCGCTGAACATCAACCCTGAACCAGCTCATGAAGTATCTCGGCTGCCCCTTTTATATGCTGTAAAAAACGGCGACTATAATGACGTTTGTGATCTACTAAATGATAATTATAAGGAGCTCAATGAGACAGATAATAACGGCAGCACACCTTTATGGTGGGCTGCATATAAGGGCTATAATTCAATCGTCAATCTGCTTTTAGAGATGGAGAGCGTCGATATAAACTCAAGGAATTGTGATGGGTTAACGCCATTTCTCGCAGCTATTGAAGAAAACCACACCAGTACTGTCAGGATCTTGATTGAGGCAAAGAATATCGATGTGAACATAAGCGATAATGAAGATTATTCAGCATTATTCTACGTGACGTCATTTTCCGGCGAAGACATGGCCGAGGTTCTTGTGAGCTCAGGCAAAATATCAACATATGAAACTGTTCTATTCGCATTCTCGGACGACTCGGACTCTAAACATATGTTGCTTACGGCGACAGATTCACCCACGCCGCTATATTGGGCAAGCTACAACGGATACGGCAAGGTGGTTAAGATGATATTAGACAGGGGTGATGTAGACACGCTGGACTATAATTGGGAAGATGCGTCAGGGCGAACAGCGCTATTGTGGGCTGTCGAAAAGCAACACCGAGATGTTATTCAGCACCTGGTGAAGTCAGAACGGATAGATGTGAACCACCCAGACAAAAAGGGGCGCACACCGCTTCGTTGGGCTTGCGAAATGGGCCGGAAGGATATTGTTGATCTCCTCATAAGCACCGGGAGAGTCAACATTGCACAGCAATCGAACGGAGTTGGAGGGTTTTCCTATTACATGGGTCATAGACATCAAAGGCGCCGCCGCCGCACATATTATTAGACTTGAGGTTTACGTATACATACATAGTTAATTAAACAAAGCCGAATCAGAATATGTGTAGAGCAAGGCCCTTAACGAGTAACAAAGAAAGGCCTATGAGTCTCAGTGGACCCATGAAAGAAGTGGCTTAGACTGTGTGTTATCTTTATCCACACTATAATCAGCCACACTTCGTCCAAAAACAGGCTTCTTTTATTTTGTAGTATAATAAAAAAGCGGACACTCCTTTCGGTCGACCCTGTAGAAAGCAATAGATGCAGATTAGATAATAATTTATTAAGCTAAATACATATATGTACATACTGTACCGAGCAATATGTAACCTCTATACATAAGAGTAAGTACAGTACGTAAAATTGAGGCCTCCATTTGAGGTATGTATTTCTTTATGGCCCTAAAGTTGGGCCCGGACGGCGGCCCAATTCGGGCCCCATAAGGGGCTATTGGAACATCTACCTCCAACCCCGTGGACTAAGCGCCACATCTCCGCCATTCCACTAATTTCCGGTATGACGACTCAAAAACAAAAGACCTCCACAAAGTTAAATTAGATAGTAGATCTTCTCGATGAGATACAGCCTTAGCTACACCTAATAATAGATCTACATCCATTTCTACAGCCATTATCACAACTTACAGATGAGCATCAATGCGAGACAAAGAAGAACGAAATTGCCTATATACGCCAAAAGTTCTGAGCTTTTGAACATTCACAAGGTCCTAAACCAAACCAAAAACTCGAGAAAATTCAGACTAGATTGGACTTACAGGCCAAATACTACGAGATGGACCCCGTCGAGAGGCTTAGGCACCGTGGGAGACCCGTGCAAGCACAATCTTCTAGTCAGAAAAGAGCACAGAGATTTAAAGAGCCTAGACGTAGCCTTAGACCCCAGCGCCTTTGATAGTTTCCTTTCCTCGTTAGAAATAGAAAAGAAAAGGATACTGGTAATGGTATTTCCTATTGAGTTATGAATGTGTTAGTACCTGAAGGTGTTGACTTCTAATTAGGAGCAGGACTGTTAAAAGAATTCAGACATCACATTAAGTATGTTCCAAACAACATATCATTCATGAACTACTTTCAATATCCTTGTCTACATACATGTAATTAGTCCATGGTATCAAAAAATAATATATGAGATTCTCTTGTCTTTCCAGGACAAGTGTAACATGGGAATAATAATTAGAACAATTAATGACGTGGTGGCTGTATTAGTTCGAGTAACAAAGAGGGAAATCGTTGACCATTTCCATAGCATGACAAGATTGTCTAGGAATAGATAAAGATCCCAGTTTAGTAGTTCAAAGAATTTCATATCTGTCTAGTTAATCTCTCTGAGTCTAAGATCAGAGTAAAAAATCAGCTTAACAATCCTTCTCTACTCCTTGTTTTTATTAAAAGTTATCGCATAGTAATCAGCCCACTACGTGTTCAAAAACGAAGTGGCGTTTAAATATTTAGCAGAGAGGACAAATGAGGCGGTAAGCAGGCATTACTAAACATAGGCATAGCCTTAAGCCTCGGGACGTTGTACAGGATTTGAACCTTGAAGGATACACCAACGAGCCAAGCACCGCCATTATTTCGATCCTAGAATTGGCTATCACATAGCTTGTTAGTGCCTCTAGTAGTAGTCTATTGAAAGATACGTGGAGAAGCTGCTTTTGGGGCAGATGACGTTCATTCCACCACGCTCCTGATCAGACTACCAACATTGTCAATATCATCCTCATGCTCCAGACAGAAAACCCTGGTATCGCCATCAAGCGCTGGACTGGGAGTCAGAGCTTCGGGCCAGGAGTAGTGCGAATCGTTGTATTGGGCAGATAGAAGAGCAGCCAGTGTCATCATCGTATGTGAAATAGTTTGGTAAGGTTTCTGTTAGGCGTGGCCGACCTGCCTTTGTGAACTCCGGGTGCTGTTACTTAAAAGGTGATGTCTTCATGCGCTTCACCTCTTTGTTTTAGAATCTCAAGCTAGAAGCTTGTTTACCGACACTGAAGTACGTCGAAATTAGAGCTTTCGCAAAGTGGCCTTTGACAAAGTGTCGTTGGTTAAATTACACCTAGGTATGCAAAGTTAGGAGAGTGGGCCAGAATAACTCAGGCTTCATCTTGTGAAGAAGGCGAAAACCGTAAGTTAAAGGTAGCATTATAGTATCTATCAAAATTATGAAAGGATTAGCCGTACTAGAAGCCGTGTTAAATTCAAATCAAATATGCCCTACTGTATGCGAGGAGAGACTCTCCTAGGTGGAGGCAGGTCAGACATAATCTTCAACGCTTATGCATAGGCACAAGGGAACTGTCCTTTCCGCTTTAGACTAGACGTCAAATTCTGCCCAGAGCATTGATATTCGTCTGTGGCTACAAGGGCTTGAAAAGGAACAACGGTTCATGAGCATCTGGTCCGGGCAGCAGAGTAAGCGTTTTTGAAGCGGAGGGCATTAAAAGTCCCATTATTTCAGCTACTTTCAAGGTATTCGAAGTGACTACCGAACTGCATTTCCAACCCTTTCACCGAAACTGTGGCGATCAATTCACCACATACGACCGTTTAATGTTAAGCCCGAGACACTGCCTCCATCGGACGGCCCAGAGTTTGAAGCGAGACCACTTTCTATGGCCACTCCTGGAGCTTTCCCTACCCTCGAGCCGACGATAGTATTCAAGACCCATAGCAAATGACATTAAACGGCCATCTACTGCATTGCCAGCCTTTTGTAGCGTCCGCAGGTCCCTGAGCAAATCCTTCGGCTGAACTATGATTGTCTCAATCCCATAAGCATCCATACACCGTGCAGAGCCGCTAATCATCCTAATATGGTTAGGGAGCTCTGTGATGAGGGCGCCATTCTTCGGCTTGGCAGTACCGAAAACCATTTTATACGTCTCATCTAGACATCCATCAGATGAATAAGCTATACTTCGATCATCAATGCTATCAGTCTCGGGGAAGCCAATAGGTAAAAAACGAAAGTGTGTCTCTCCGTTCACCTCTCGTATAGCTGCTATTGATATACTGTTGTCCTCCCGTTCGATTTTGCCTGTCGGAAAGGCAATCGAGTATCCCCCCCTATCCCCGCGAACCGTGGCCGGGCGAAACTGTCGCACTAAGACTAAGTGTTCCTTGTTGTCAATAATATAGGTTGGTATGGCAATGGCGATTTGAGCTGGAAGCGCGGATTGTCTGTTGCGATAGAGAATGACTGTTTCTTTTTCCTTTCCACTATCAGGTTGCCACCACACTCTTTTGAGAATAAAACCATCGTATTCGAAGAGTGTCTCACTCGCAAGTAATTTAGCATTGTTTCGAAGGCCGTCCATTGCAATAGATCGGGACTCTGTGTGGAGAGAGGAAATGATGGAGCAATCTGGTGTAAGAAAACCATGAAAAGGAAGAACGATCCTTTTAACTAGTCGGAGAAGGCGAGTAGTTACAAGAGTGCAGGCCTGCAGGTATTCGGCTAGGCACCTTCCGCTGTTCTCCGTCAGGTTACGCCGCACCTGAACAAGACTCATCCTGTTCCAAGTCTCAGGCCACATAACTGCGGTGATAACAAGGCAAGCCAATGAATAGAATGATAACGTCATGGTGGACGAATCCCGGACTTGGCCCCGTGTTGTGTCATTACTGTACGTCTCTTCTCCCGTGAACTCGTTCCCAAGTAAAATAGTCAACTTTTGGGAATCCGCTTTGCAGATTAGAACGAGGTTCAAATTCTGAGAGAGTCAGGGCTACATTTTCGCGCAAAATTGGCGTGATTATCTTTCGGCCATCATATGCCCTTTCCGCCTTTACAACCTCGGAAAGAGTATTTAGTGAGATAGATCCTGGACGCATGGACAAGGAAGTCTCTCTACAAGCTGCCAAGGGCCAACAACTATTATGAAACATGCTTGTCAACTTCCAATTGTATGTACAACCCTCACATTTGTGTACCGAGCCATTGGTCTGAACGGTTAGGATCATCGCATAGGAGGGGCTCCAAAGTCCGAGAGAAGTGGGTCTGTGTTTGCACGCAGGATACTGCTAGTCTGGCTTTATATTAGTTCCATTTACTGATTAGGCTCGATGTCTGTAAGTATATGTATTTTTGGTAGATGGACAGGGATAGCGTTAGGTGTAAGCACCTATGAACCAGGCCCAAGTGGTCTTCATAAGGCGACGGTGTGGGTCCATTTTTCCGGCAGAATACCGTCCCTAGCCCCTCAAAGCCGGTTCCGTCATTCGCCATTGCGTTGGAGGGATGAAGACGCCAGTCGCTTTACGTTATACTACAAAGACCTGCCTGCCCTCTTCTCGGACATATAGAGGCAGGCAGGCGGAATGGACAGCTTCTGTTGGACAGCCTTCACATCTAGGTACCAAACCAAAACTTAGCTAGGAGCTTCCAGGCAGGGGGTAGAGCATCCGTTCGTATCTTAGATTCAAATAAGCTCCTACGAGGCTTCCATGGACAAGATCCGAACAAAGATTAGGTCCCCTCTGTCCTACCGTGCCTTTAGCGATGTCACATTAATCAAAAACCAATGCATTGGTAGCTTGGAAACGCTGGTTAATTCTATATTGGGCAGACATTCCACCTACGAGAGACGGGCAACACGCAACGAAAATCTTACCGGGATGCAAGTCAGCGCTGATGTCAATATGGTTGATCTACACCACTTACAGCCACGACTCAACGAAGACAGCGCGCCGCTCATTGAACCGCTGATATCCTTCAACCAAATAGGAAGAAAGATTCAGGCACCTCGTGGTAACAGTGCGCTGAGTTGAAAGGACAACCACAGAGTTGAATTTACAACAAGACCGCCGAAATTACGAATGAGTCCAAGGAGGATCAGTGGCTTGTGATCCAATCCCGACTCTCCCTTATACTATTCATGGAAACTACAACTCGCTGCGATGAGCCAGGATTGAGCGATGGCGAATGGCCGATTGTAGTCTAAATTTCTAGGAAGAGTGAAACCCCATGGGAATATTCTACTATAGT